TCCTGGGAGATCTATAGTACATCCGCAGAAAACCAGGATCGAAAGACTCATTCATGAACAATTTCAATCATATCATCGCTGGTTTTGTGCAAAAATAATTAACCGAAGACTGAGAGAGGCATGAGCCTATACAAAAGGATATTCGCCCTAGTCAAGATATAGAATCGCATCCGTCTTTGGAAGTCCATGGAAATCCATAGCGACAGTCTCGAACAGATAAAAGGCTTCAAGGATCAAGTGCAGAGACTGCTTCAGTCCGAAATGTATTCTTTCAATCGGAGCTGGAGAATGAGATGCTGACAAGACATCTGGGTTGAGCAGACCGACGACCCCATCGATCGAATGAGTATGTCACATACAACAATCCATTTAATATTCGGTTCCGTAAGTTCTGGCCTGAAATTGGAATAATGGTACGAGTACGAGTATTATTTGGTGGCTTTTTACTTCGGCTTTCCATCCTGTGGCCTTTTCAATTCAATCTTCCTTGAGTGGATTCAAATGAATATCTATAGATTCATCGTAACGATCCACTGCCAGATCTGCTATCCTCAATGCATCCCGTCTTTGGTTTCTTACCTTTCCAAAATGCCAGCAATGAAATGGAAAAATCAAAACCCTGGCTGGCTGGTCTCTTTTAACCGGCACAAGAGTTTCATCACGTAGAGAGGTCATGGGGAGTCTTTCGCTCCTCGTGAAACCCCAGAGACGTTTCTCAAGCGGAAGCAAACTGCGGCAACATCTTTGTTTCCTGGCAGGTTCTAGAGAATCAGTAAGTGTGTCTTAATACTGATACCATCAACAATGGATTTGTATGAGTAATCCCCACTTTCCTCCAGATCCGTGGACGTGATCTGCTGCTGCACTGCCGTTACTGATGTAGATCCCTTGCAAAACCCCGTTCTATAAATAAATTCAGTGTCTCCTTTCATAGCACCTTTCCTTAAGCATCAATATCTTTTGTTTGCAACAAAGAACGTCTGTACTTGACCGTTACCCATAGACAGTTCCCCAATGCTAGGGAGCTCTCTACAGCCCGCCTTCAAGCGAACATCTCCCCCTATAAATGCATTCATTCAACCGCTTTGAATGCTACCCACACCATTACACTCTCTTATACGTATAGTACGATACGATTAAATGTCTGTACGATTATATCTCAATTTATTTGCCGCTCGAGTGCGTCGCCGTTTAATTAATACGCAAATATTGTCACTTAAGTAAACAGATTCACATGGGCAGGAATGTTATACGTCATACATGAGTGGAATAAGGGGGAGGTGGAGGTGGAGGAGGCGGAGGAGAAGGTGGGTTGGACATTGGCGAGTGAGTGAGTGAATGAATGAGTTCAGGCCGCACTCGACCATGGAATGACGTCATTCGCTTGTACGATTCCGATGGCCATAAACAATTCTGTGATAAACATATGTTAAATATCGATACATGCCATTGGGGATCTCGACCTAAATAGTACTCTTTCTCTGGCGTCTGGGGTGGCAGATACTTGGAGAAATGCTTCTACATCACTCTCTGAAAGACTTGGATAAATTACCTCGAATATGTTATCGGCTAAACATCTAAGAAAACATCCCAACGAGTGTGAAAGTGGGAAATTTTTTTGGGGAGGGGCGGCAAAAGTTAAGTGGAATCTTCTTAGAGTTTTCCAGCGCTTAATCAAACATGTGGCCCCTACCGAACCGCTTCGAAAGATAGGTCTAGAAATTCCTGATAATTTGTGGATTGCATAAACAGACAAACGAGTTGACTCAGATATTTTGAGTACTAATGCGCCGCTGACTAAGTGCAGAAATATGTTCTTGAAGATAGCTCAAAGGTGGGACGGGACGACAAGCCCCAGTCCTGGTTCTCATTACGAGTCCCAGGGATAATTGCACGACCCAGTGGACAGAAACAATCAGAAATAATATCTGCGCTGAAAGGCAGGGCCAGCAGCTGGGCCTGCAATTAGGGCCTCCTGTAATTTGCGTCATGCGGGGCACGTGAGAGCGGAGCTGCAGCCACAAAAGCAAACTGTTGCAAGGCTATAAATAGCTACAATCGCTGCAGAAAAAGAAGAAGAAAAAGAAGCGACGGAGCTATGCGAATCGCCCTTGAGAGGAGGCGCTGTGGCACTGTGGGCGTGTCGCCATGACAACAACAACCAACAACATTCGAGCGACAACAGAAACTCGAAGGAAGGCAAGAGTGACGTGCCCAGGTCCCCCCTCTTGGAACTGGGGCTGGGGGTCTGGTTAGTGCAACATGTTGCCAGACACATTTGATCGGCTGTCGGCTACTGGGCATCGGGGCTCTGGGAGCAGGAATATGTGATGTGGAGCTGGTAATGGTAATGGTGATGCCGATGTGGCTGGGCTGCATACTCTATGCTGTCTGGGGGAATATTCCGAATCGGCAGAGCACTAAAAGTGAACATTTCATCGAATGCTTTTATCCAATTGAACTTTGGATGCATAAAACATCTTTGGAATGGGATTTTAAAAGATTAGAATCCATGATAGTCCAAAGGGAACTGCCTGCTATGATGTCTGGGGGAATTGATGAAGGAAAACATTTCCTTGAAAGCACATGTCTTTCAAACAGGCCAAAGCTCTTAGGGTTCGACTATAATTGACTACATCGCACAGGCGATGTAATACGAATCTCTTTAAATAAAAGCTACAAGGAAGAGGGCGCTCTTGTGGCAACTCAAATTGAAGAGAGCCTGAAGCCACTGAAGCCCCGAAAAAATCGTGTACCAAAGAAATACATATGTGGCCGTATTTACTTGAATGTCTTTGGTAGAGCCCTGTATTTATTCCTTTAAAAATCACATTTAAGCAGACATCTAGTACCTAGGATAAACATAATTATTATTGGAAACTTATAGCAACTTAAGAACTTAAAGTTCTTTCCAAGAGACTCTCATCCAGTGGCACTCAAGGTATTAGTTCTGGAAAATATATATTTCTAAAGTATGTATTTTGTAAAGCCCCCAAAGACTGCTTTGAAAGTGTATTCCATCTACGACTTAGCACACAGGGGGAGTTTCTCCCCCAGCCAACAGATGGTTTTGTGCCTTTTCATCGTGTGGTTAAGGCAGCTCTCCTCAGGTGATTAGTGGCTCCAACCTACCTCCCAGACCTGTCAATATTTGCCAGCTGATTGGCTTCGAGAGCGTCAATGCCTAAGCCCCAGTGCCCAAGGATTAGACAGGGCGGGGGTGGGGGACAGGTGAAACCAAAGTAATTTCAATTAGCCGATAAACGCCTCAACGACCAGCGAAAGAGACGTCGCATCGTCGTGCCTGGGATCTGTGTTTATGCTGCACTGACCCGCCAGTCCGCCCGCCAGATCCCTGCCAGTGGCTATGACTGACAAAGATAAATGTTTTTATTTGCTGGCCAAATGGCAATTAGCCACAATACCCGTATGTTTTGGGCCCTGTCAGTGGGTGCTGCTAGGCTTGAATGTCATCAAGATGGAAGGTGGGGTCCGCACTTTGAGGTGCGCCCTGAAATTAAATTCCTGTTTATTGATGTCAAAAGTCCAGATGGGGACAACACTTGTTGTCTCGCTGCGCTGCGCTGCGCCACACTGCGCTCTGGCAGGAGGAGGATTATATTTTTACGACATGGCCACAGGAAGCCGCCCATCAGCCGAGACCAGAGACCAGAGAGCAGAGACACAGGCGACACCAGTCCAGTTCAGTTCAGTCCAGTCCAGCCATGGGGCATGCTCTAATTGCGGGCAAACGATGGCAGCGATGGCGACGGTTAGTCAACTTGTTTAATTGTGCATGTCTCGCTGTCATTTAGTGGCTCCGAGTAGCTCAGCTCTCCAGCCCCCCCGACCACCCACCATGTGTGACTCTTTTGACACTGAGTTATGGCCACGTGGGTCGAGTGGGTCGCGTGGGTGGCCGGACCTGTTGCCAGAAGAGCCGCTGCTCTCTCTCTCTTATAGGTGTGGCTGTTGGCCTCCTCCTCCCTCTTAGTGGTGCTTGGCAACTCCGGATGCTCGGCTCTTTTCCGATGCGGAAGTGACACAGAAATATTGTATTTCGAGTGGAAGATCTCCCAGCCATTTCCCAACGCCACACTCCGCGTATGCGTAATGTCCGAGGCGAGCCACCAGAAGAACCAAAGCTCTTCTCTTCGGCTGTCCAGATCTCTGTTTTTGTTTATGCGTACAATTATGTATTTTTTGTTGTTGATAGCCACCACCAACACGATTGTGATAGCATAGCTGGCGATGCTTCTGCTTGGGAGATTACGAGTACTCCGAGCGAGCACCCTCGCGCGTAGCCGGGTTCAGCTTCAGTTCCAGAATTGTTTTGTTCTTCACTGCGCTCTGAGCTCTGCACTCTCGGTTTTGGTTTTCTGTTTTCCTGTATCTGATGGTTTTTTATCAAGCATTTCACACTGTAACGGACATCTGACTGAATGAAAAGGCATAAACAACCACAGAACGGAGGGGCATGGGGCGTCTTATCGAGTGGCGTCTCCGTTCGATGCTTGGACCGACCGTCCAGCGCCAAGTTTCAGTCGGTTCTGGTTTATTATGCAGTTGGTGTGTGCCCAAAAGGCGCATAAAATTAACAAGGAAAAAAATATGTCAAATAAAGAAATACATAAACAAAAAAGGAAAATGAAATAAAGAAGGCACAAAAGTGTATAGAAAGTGTTATAAGGATCTACGACTGTTTGAACAAAGAGTAACTAAATGGAACAAGTAAATATTAAGTACATAATAAATTAAGTATAAAACTCTTGGTGCCGTGATTGTTTAAATAAAAAGTAAAAACCAAAATAAATGATTTTAAAAACTATTCTCAGCCGCAAATGATTATATCACCCCTTGGGTTCCCAAAGAAACTATCAAAATTATAGTCAATGCGGCAGTATATCGGGCAAAGAGCCACTAAACACATTTTATAGTATATATTCTTCGTTATTTTATAATTTCTATCAAAATGATGTCCTCCGTTTGATTTCTTGCAGTGCATCGCTAAGTGAGCAAAGTGACCAGTTCCAGTCGACCAGTCGTGACCATGGCATTACTGGGGCAAATGTGTTAACGCCTTTCGTATATATACTAAATATAGTAGTGTCTAATTAGCGGAATATTTAAACGAAAGCCAAATAACAAACAAATTAAGCGAAAATTGAAAATATGCGCCTGGCCCACAGTGTTGTGGCCTCCTGCTGGCTGCCGTTACTCATCTGGATGTCGAGGAGCAATGCATGTAAGTACGAGGCTTATCCACCATTCAAGAAAATCCATATTGTTGGGCATTCCCAGATTATCGCGGAGAATTTCACCGGAATTGATAAGAGTGAAGAAATAATGAAGAGAAGTGGACGCTAACGCTTTCAATTTGCACAATTAAAAGCCAACACATCCATGTGGGATTATGCACACATCAACAAGTGCTATATGCACAAGTGTCGGCACACGATCGCTTCCTGTCAAATGGCCAGACATTCCGTATAATTTATGGTGCCTGCGCCGCATCTCCCTCTCCCATCTCCAATCTCTCCGGCAGACAGAAGCCCCCAGCCTCCGGCTGAAATACTAGACCCAATTGTGAACCTTGAACCCGCGGCTGATGAAGAACCAAATTTCGTTTCTACGACACTCGTAAAAGTGTCACATAAACGCCTGCTATATATTAGATATTATTATATGATCTTCATACTCAGCCCCCGCCTCCGCCCCCTCCTCCATGTATATTTTTTCCAATTGGCTTCGTCTTGAGCGGAGAACGTACACAATTCCAGTATCAGAAACAGCAAAAGGAAAGGAGGGGCCAGCCAAGGCAGGGCAAGGCACAATTGTTATCGCCAGTAAACAAATAATGATTCTGGAGCAAAAAAACAAAAAAATGAACATGAAAAAGAAATAAAGCAGTAGCAGGCAGCTATAGAGGATGCAGGGGTGTAGTCCGAGGGGAACTACTATTAAAATGAGAATCGGTTCAATCAAACGGTTTTTCTATATTTTTGTATCTAAAGCAATTTATCCATCATTATTTTATACGCTTAAAGATCATGTTATGCCACATAAAAGTACGTGTATTGTTAAAACCCATAAAAAACCGAAAGATGATCTTTCAAAAGTGTTGTGTGTGGAAACCGAATCCCTTTCTACGCCCCCGCCCCTGCCCCCTGCATACAGATGCAACTCAAGAGCGTCGGCGTTCAATCGCAAATCACTTAAGTTCATTACAATAGCGCCACTGGGCAGAGGAAGGGCACAACGAAGGGGAAAAGGGGGAGAGACTGGAAGATTGTACTCGGCAAAACATAAAGAAACAACTTAAGTAACATTTAAACAAATTTGTTATGATGCTTTCGAGGGATTAAGAGAGATCCGTGCAGATAGTTCAATGTATTTTATTTGACTGTTTTTTTTTCCAGTGCCTCGCCCCCAATTCGAGCAGGAGGATAACGAGGTGTCCACCAATTGTGGCGGTGATAATGGAGCACCCCTGATAACGCCCTGCAAGGAGTCCATCAAGCTGGAGTACAGGACAAACTACACGCTGCGTTGCGAGGCCAGCGAGCCGATCATTTGGTGGGCAAGTCACGAAAGTTCGCTGGTCAGTAGCTTCGATAATACGGAGGAGGATCCCCAGCGTCCGTATGGCCTGCAGCTGCACCTGATCGAGGTGACGGCGGACAATGTGGGGGCATACTACTGCATCAAGGAGTCGTCGGCAGAGTCCCTCACTAGCGGTCCGGACGAGAAGCTCGGCGAGATGCTGGGCGAGATGGTGAACAACGATCTGGCGAGCACCATTTACGTGTTTGTGAATGATCCGATAAATCTGCTGGTTCCGACGGCACCCATTGTCCATGCTCGCCAGTACACGGATGTGGTGATACCCTGCAAACCCTCGATGCCCGAAACGGAGGTGCTGCTGACATTCAACTCAGATGTGAGTGGTCCTCTTTTCTGCAGTTCCCAGCACCCAAAAGTAGATCCTTTCCTTGGAGTACAACTGATCTTTCCTTCTAGGGAAAAATAAGTTCGCTACGTCCTGCTCTGGGGATGCATAGCTTCTATCATAATTCGACTTACGATCCCCGATGGGGCTTTACATTGCATATCATTGCGAAGCCACCGCCGAGCATCTTCTGCGACGGTGATATGTTCGACATTCACTACTCAAGTATGTCCCACACAGTACAGTCCGTTCTACTCAGTAGTTTTGCCATCAGTGCAATGTATATACAATATGTATAATATATCCAAAGTATCGTAAATATTATCGACTATCCTAATTAGTACTCTAAGATAAAAGTCCAGAAGTCCAGCGAAACACATTTGATTATAGATGGGGGGGGGAATGTTGCACCCACAGTCCTTGCTTTAGATCTGCTCCATTTTAATATCTAATATCTGATTGACCCTTTTTGAAAATCCCTTCCTTGTGTAGAAATTTTCCAGCCAGACCTCTGGTCGTTATGATCCCAAGCGTGGCTTTACCATCGAAATACGAAGCATCACCGATGGTGGCGACTATTATTGTGAGCCCGAGTATCCAGCCGCAGAGAATGAAGAGGAGTATACGGTCATACCAGTCCGCTTTATCGGTAACGGTCACATTGATAGTGAGTTTTTGCACCCCAAAGTTTTGTGATTTGTGATTTCCGTCTCCTATATAGTACTACATGTCGTAAATATTGCTTTCAACTATTGCCTCTTTCTTTGATTTTTTTGGTTTTGATTTTCGATCATACCTTTTAAAGGGGTTTCGGTTATCGGTTATCGGTGGTTACCTGTGGCTATATGGTTCAAGGACGTCATCCAATATCGAAACAATTCAAAATTAAACGCATTAAATACACAATCACTCTATCAGAATACACTCTATCATGCCACACACACACAAATCTCTGCATCTAATACCACAGTTCCATTAGCAGGACATTCGGGGAGGATTTGGAAAGACTATACAATTACCAAAATGTTGCATGAGGCACCAAAATGTTCTATGCACCAAGTCTTTTGTACGCCTCACCAAAGACTGTGAATTTCGTTATTGGATTCTGGGGACCGACTCAGACAAAGCCGCGCAGGCAGTGGTCAGAGGCGATAGCCCAAAAGAGAATTGAACGAAAACTGAAAGGGAAATTGGTTCCTCATGCAATGTCTTGATATTTGCAATAATTTGAATCAACATCAAATCTATGAATGGTGCCCTAGTGGAACCCTGGTAGAGCCATAAACATTGCATCCAAAATGGAATTTACGTGCTAACAAAATGGTCTTTCTATCTCTATTCTCTCACTACTATATATCTTTCTCTTTTGGTTATTCCCCACATCCCTACTGTGTGTCATTTAATCTGCTAACTCCTCCAGCATCTGGATTGGATAGTGCCAGTACCTCGAGTGCCACCATCCTGCCGCCTAACATAGAATACGGTGTTGAAGAATACAACGGTGTTACGACTCCGGAGGGTTCCGCGGATAGCGATAATGATAATGATAACGATGATGATTTCCTCACTACTGTAACTAACACAACCAATGGTAATGTGGCTCTAAGCTCTGGTGCTGGGCTTGGTCGAAACAAATCTGAATCGGAAGATCGCTCAAAATTATACCCATTGCGTCGTAAGCGTAGTCCAGTGCGTCTTCTGGCCGCCCCGCTGAGTCCATCGCCCTCACCAAATCTAGGGCGTAAGTGTTGTATGTTTGTTGGATGTCCTAGCTGTTGTCCTTGCACTCTATGTTCTTTCCGCTTCCGAGGAATTTCTGTTGTTGTTGGTTCATGGACTGTATTATTTGTTCAACTAACAGCTAACGTATCGCTATAAGCCATGTACAGACTAAAACCCAGTAACCGCTTGATGTGCTAATCCTATGGATTGTAGTTTGTGTGTCCCTTGTCTATAACTAACCCCTTCATACGCATGAATACTCGTACCGCTGTAGAAACGCTTGCAATACCCCAGGAACATCCGCAGGTTCTTTGAATAATGTTAATCTCTCTACTATAAACGATATAGAAGCGAATGATCGCTTGAATAAGCCCAGCATCAGCTCTACGCCGGGAAAGCATGTCATTGTGAATGGGACTTTCACATTGGTCTGTGAGCTGTCTGCCCCGCAGGGCGTGAACTATGAAATGAGCTGGAGCACCCCCAACAGCAAAAAGAAGTGGACACTCCACGAGGATGCCTACCATCTAGATCCTCAGGGTCGCATCTCCTACACGAAGCCGCGATTCGACAACACCATGAAGAACAGCACCCATGTGGTGGGCAGCAGCAGGCTGACGGTGACACAGGCCCAGGAGTCCGATGAGGGCACCTACAAGTGCACTGTCACGGATAGCTTTGACCGCCTGCAGTTCACCACCTACAAGATGAAAGTCATGCGTAAGTGTACAATACTCCATTTATACCAGATTACTAACCTTTCAAATACATATACAAAAACAGAACCGAACACGACCTATCTGGATGTGCGAGAACCCGCCGGCCACTACAATGTGAATGAGTTTGCCAATAGAACCATCACAATGACCGCCGAATTTAGTGGATTTCCTCAGCCGATCTTCAAGTGGTACCGGCCCGATGGCAGCGAGTTCTGGGAGACGGGGCACAACTTCAACATTGAATCGACGGAGTCCAGCACCACGCTTCGGCTGCATAATGTCCAGCTGAAGGACAGCGGCACCTATGTCCTTAAGGGCAAGGTGCCCGAAAGCAATGTCACCCGCGTCCTGAAGTACAATGTCAGTGTGATGTCCTCGCCAGAGCTCAGCATGGATGATGTCTATGTCGAGGCGGGAAATGAGGCACATTTGGACTGCCTGGTGCGTTCGTATCCCCCGGCGGTGGTCACCTTTCTTTTCAGGCCCTGTAAGCTGGTGCCGCGATGGCCCACGTGTAACTCACTCAATCAGAACTTTAGTGTAAGTATCAGAGATCTGACTGCGAAGAATCCTTGGTGTTGTTTCGAATATTAATTGCACCATTTGTGTTTTGTCTTGTGTCGTTGTCTTTCATGCAAGTAGTCACCCGATGTCCAAAAGACATTTAAGGTACTAAATTACCGCCACTTAGCATTCAGCCTTTTCAAACCACTTTCTCTTGTCCTCAGTTCAATGTCCAACCACGACCGGGGCTACTCTCTGTGGAACGTATCTATGCCGTGTCCTTTACACCCACAGAGCCGGGCATACTTTCCTGCGCGGCCCAGAACTTGGTGGATGGTGTGCCGCGTATGGCCATCACCAAATCGCATGTGCTGATCGGTAACATTGCGGAGAAGATGACCATATATGGCCTGGATGAGAACCGGAAGATTGCCAAGGGCGATGAGGAGAGTTTCACTTGCGAGGCATTGGCCTATCATTTCGATGGCACTCTCACATGGTATCACAATGGAGAGGAAGTGGAAGCATCGGAGGGTAAGCGGCACTCAACAGACCTCTCTGCTGAATCCCTAATATCACCTGTTCCTCCCACAGCTCTTCTGATACAGACCAGCCACAGTGACTACTCCTACAAGAGTACTTTGAAGTTCCCGGCAATGGGTGATGGCGATCGGGGCACCTATGAGTGCCGTGCCCATCATATCCATAATCACACGCAGTACGATAGTCGGGAGATCGATGTCTATGTACACGATCCAAAGGCACCCCATTGGGTGCACACCAATCTCAATGCCAACTCAAAGATGGAGAAAAAACTGGGCGAATCTTTGGCCCTGGAATGCCGCTCCATGGCAGTGCCAAAGGCGAAGGTGCGCTGGTTCAAGGATGGCAAGGAGCTGCAAGAGACGAATCTCACCCACATCATTGAAGACGAGGAGAAGCTGCTGATCACCCACCTATATCCCTATGACGATGGCATCTACAGGTGTCTAGTGGAGAACCGGCTGGGCAGCATTGAGAACTCCATTACCGTGGTCATCGCTGGTCGGTTTCCCTTTCTCCATCCATGGAACTCAAGATCCTCATTCAATGATTCATTCACAGATATGCCTGGCATTAACAAAGCCTGGATTTGGTTTGGAGTAATGCTCTTCCTCATCCTCATAAGCCTTTGCGCCTTTCTGGCGGTGCGCTACCACAAGGAGCGCAAGCGTCATTTGGCTTTGAAGGCCGCCGGTTTGGCCAACTTCGAGGAGGGCGCCGTGGAACATATCAATCCTTCTTTATCGCTGGACGAGCAGGCGGATCTGCTGCCCTACGATCAGAAGTTTGAGTTCGCGCGCGACAGCTTGAAGCTGGGCAAACAACTGGGCGCTGGCGCCTTTGGTGTGGTGCTCAAGGGCGAGGCCAAAGGGATACGTACCGATGAACCCACCTCAACGGTGGCCGTAAAAATGGTCAAGCGCACGGCGGACAATGAGGTGGTGCGTGCCTTGGTCTCCGAGCTGAAGATTATGGTCCACTTGGGACAGCACTTGAATGTGGTTAATCTGCTGGGTGCCGTCACCAAGAATATAGCAAAGCGTGAGTACCCCTAAAGAAAGCCTTAAAGAATCTCCCAATTAAAATATGTATTTCTATTGACCAGGTGAACTTATGGTCATTGTGGAATACTGTCGTTTCGGGAATGTCCAAAACTTTTTGCTCAGGAATCGCAAGTTTTTCATCAATCAGATAAGTCCGGTTAACGATAGGATCGATCCAGCCATCATGGTCCAACGCGTTTCCGAAACCTTTGAGCTCCATCGGTGAGTAATAGTCTATTATTTGGAGCATACCTTTACCAGAATTATGTGGTATTATTAACCCAACACATGTATATGCTTACTAACTGCTGTTCTCTGTTCTCTCTGTTTTGTTCCTAATCTTTCAATTGATCCCATACCAAAAACTAACCAACAAACAATCGTACACCATCCACGATCTAATCAAAAATCTTACCCCACACAAAACACCTTGATTGTGCCTGTTCTTGTGATCCCCAAAACCTGGTTGTGGCATCTCTCACTGCTCTGTGCTCTATGCTCGATATGTGTCTCTGTGTCTGCAAATTAATAGCGATGTAAATGGTGGTGGCTTGAAGTATGCTAATGTCGGTTTCCCCAACCATCCGTATATCAATCACATGAACTCCGTAAACAACAATTATACGCAAAATCATCGCAGAAATTCGGACAATGATCCACGTTCGGGCACACGTGCGGGTAGACCCGGTTCCGCTGGTTACAGCTACGATCGTCAGACGGACACCTGTGCCACAGAAGCCACTGTGATGACAACAGTGCCAGACGGTAAGACTATGCGGGTTAGGCAACCAATAGAACGATCCTTGAACTCTCGTTTATCCCTAGATGAACATGTGATGTCTAACAACTCGATACAGCCCGCTTGGCGTTCCAATTACAAGACAGATTCTACGGAGGCCATGACCGTGACCACAACTGACCTCGTTAGCTGGGCCTTCCAGGTGGCTCGTGGCATGGACTATCTGTCCTCCAAGAAGGTCCTGCATGGTGATTTAGCCGCACGAAACATACTCCTGTGCGAGGACAATGTGGTCAAGATCTGTGACTTTGGTCTAGCACGTTCCATGTATCGTGGCGAAAACTACAAGAAATCAGGTGGGTAAAGCACCATTCAGATATAGATAAAAGTAAATACTATTAAATACCACTAACGAATATGCATGAGGAACAAAAATTTTGCACGATTCCCTGGAACTAGCGAATGTTGTAGAGTCTTTAATATAAACATTTATTTTCAGAGAGCGGAAAGCTACCCATCAAATGGTTAGCGCTGGAATCTCTCAGTGATCATGTATTCAGTACTTATAGTGACGTTTGGTCCTTTGGCATTGTGCTGTGGGAGCTGTTTTCGCTGGCCAAGGTGCCATATCCCGGCATTGATCCCAATCAGGAGCTGTTCAACAAACTCAACGATGGCTATCGCATGGAGAAGCCACCCTATGCCAACCAAGAGATCTATGAGATCATGCTCGAGTGCTGGAGGAAGAGGTAAGCTCAAACGGAAACCCTAAATGGGCATGCAGTTTAAATATTTGTACATTCTTACAGTCCGGAGAGCAGACCCTTGTTTGCTGAGCTGGAGAAGCGCTTTGCCACCATGCTGGGCGAGGATGTGACCAATGTAAGCGCTATAAAACCAACCAAATAGAAGAAATCCTAATGCGGAAATCTGTTTATTTGCAGCACTACCTGGACCTGAACAATCCCTACATGCAAACGAACATGGAGTACATGAAGAGCCAGTCCACAGACTACCTGGCCCTGATGGGATCCCCCGACGAACCCGCGCCGGCAGCACCGCGTTACGTGAATGGCCATATAGTGCCCGATATACGTGAGTATTGGAGCCTCCACTGGATGTGGTGTGATGACTAACTTCTATTGCACGATACACATACTCATTTGCGCACTCGATGCCACACACTAACCCGCACAGGAATCGAAGAGCTGCCCGATGACTATCAGGCCATGAGCCCCCCCGATACCAGCACCGCCATCTATTCACCCACGCGCCTCGATGGCGACGATATGGCACCAACGGCCAATTTCACAGAGTTTGCGGACTTCTCACCCCTACAAACAACCGACACCTCTTTCACCTTCCCAGATGCAACGCCGCCCCAACCCCAACGCCTTGTAGGACAGCATTCACCGACGCTTAGCAACAATATGAACAGCAGTGTCCACAAGCCGCTGCGCAAGAAGAACGGCCTGCCCACGGTGGATACCGCCGATCAGGCACCCGAGGAGATACCCATGCTGCATCGTACGTCCACATCGGATACGGAACAGAGTCCGGAACAGGGGCGACGCTTCAACCAGGCGCTAAAGCAGCAATATGTCACGCCCAAGCCATCGCCGCGCCATCATGTGGAAACGAAACTGAATGGCGAGTCCGAGAACTATGTGAATGTGAAGCCGCCGCGTAAAAATCTTGTCAATAAGCCCACGACTACTGGTGGCACCAGCAACACAGAAGCGTTCTCCAATCCCAGCTATCAACCGCTTTCGGGAGTCAATGAGAAGGTGGATCGACGTTATTAGACGTGTAGATGCCTGGAAGCAGCCAGCTAGCTTAAGTTAGACAACAATACTACTTAGTGGCATTCTGATATAGCTTTAAGACGAAACTCACTCCATGTTATATATATAGTTTATTAATGCCATTTCATGTATAATTTTAGTTAATAGTTTTAAGTCGAATTATCGTGTATGTTATATGTCTCCAAATGTGTACCTACGATTACTCAAATAGAATGGGTATAAAATGAACAGATCGATATATCACTGGACCCCACCGTCACAGACCCCTTTTGTGTTCTCTTATTTGCTATGAAGTTCGTCTAAATGTTTTAAGACGTCTTGGCGATTACTTCAACAGCATTTATTCTTTCCTCGTCTTGGATTTTTTCAGTTATCCTGATTGGTTAGTCCTAAAAATAAATTGTTCAGAGAAGTATTCATTTTAGTAAGGTTTAATTAATTTACAGAGCTCGGATTGGGAACGCTAGTTCTCCTTCTTATGGTTCCATTTCTGTGGGCGATTTCGTAGCGGAGGTACCAATGCGTTCTTCTGTACATAACCAATTTAAATGGATCACACTGTTCTTACCTGATGTACATACATATAAAGTACATATCAAATTTCTATGATAATTGAAATGATAATTAATGATTAATTAATGAAAAAATGATGATAATTAATTCGTTTCATTCTTTCAGATCAAAATGTGTCAGCTTCTAGTTTATTAGATCAGCGGAGCTCTAAGATTTAGTTCCCCAAAGAACCCCTGAATCTAAATAAAATAATAAACATTTAAATTTAAAAAATATATCTTAAAGATATCCTAATGCACTACACCTTAGTACGGCTCCACTCTATAAGACGGAAAATGCATCCAGTGTGAGCGAGACCCTCAATAGCCACAAACTGCTTTGCCGCGATCCCCCCTCTTACACCACCAGATAAAGTTGTTGAGTTATTATTTATTAATTTTCTTTAACTCTTCCCTTTATTTTAGCAGTTCGCCCGCTCCAGTGGTGCGAACTCCCCACACTGGGCCACGATGCAGTGCGCCCTCGGAACATGATTTAGTCTGGGCTGGACAGTCTGGATCCTCGCGATCCTGGGAGACTTGGTCCTGAACCGGTCTGGCCCAATTTTTCTGAGATATAGCCTTCCGAAGATTCGGATTTGCACAATACGAATACTACAATTCGTTACAATACTGGTTTCTTCTGTAGGCTATATCTGTGCTAAACGGCAGCCGATCAGGGCGTGGCCTGTCTGTCCGTGATCGGGAGAGTCCTGCCAGTCGACTGCAATCGGAAAAAAGGACATCCATTTTTTCACGATTTTCGCAAAAAATCATGATGGTTACATCATTAAATTTGCCAAAAATCGGCCTCATTTTCGAAGTCGAGGTTTTGATGCCGTTCGACAGTATGGATCCTCGCGATCCTGGGAGACTTGGTCCTGCACCGATCTGGCCCTATTTTTCTCAGATATAGCCTTCCGAAGATTCGGATGTGCCCATCGTTACAATACTGATTATTTCGGTAGGCTATATCTGTGCTAAACGGCAGCCGATCAGGGCGTGGCCTGTCTTTTCGAGACCGGGAGAGTCCTGCCAGTCGACTGCAATCGGAAAAAAAGCCATCCATATTTTCACGATTTTCGAAAAAAATCATGATGGTTACATCATTAAATTTGCCAAAAAACGGCCTCATTTTCGAAGTCGAGATTTTGATGCCGTTCGACAGTATGGATCCTCGCGATCCTGGGAGACTTGGTCCTGCACCGATCTGGCCCTATTTTTCTCAGATATAGCCTTCCGAAGATTCGGATGTGCCCATCGTTACAATACTGGTTTCTTCTGTAGGCTATATCTGTGCTAAACGGCAGCCGATCAGGGCGTGGCCTGTCTGTCCGTGATCGGGAGAGTCCTGCCTATCAAAGTTAAGATTTACATCTGCAGCGTAAGGAATAAAACCAGTATTTTAATTATTTGCTCAGCCAAAAGACTTATTCGCTGTATCTCGGCCAAGCTGGGCCGGATGGGGGAAAGACCTCTCCCAGTTAAGCATCAAGTGGACGGACAAATCAAGCTTATCCTCGCCCGGACGGACAAGCAGCTGCTCGAGATGAAAATGTCGTAGTTTTGAATCTGAAGCTCAAATATTTCACCGACTACAAGTAGAAGGGTAAGTGAATCCAAACTCTTCCTAGTACTATCTTACCTTGCCTTACACGCTGTATACTTTTCAGTTCTCAGGCCCCTAGATCCCCCCAGATCATACAATCGCTGGTCAGAGGACATTTTAAGCGTGAAGGAATCCCCCAGAATCCATGCCATCCAGGACGTTCGTACGTTCGCCGCTCGCCGGGCAGTTGGTACTTTCCACCGCTGAATCAGGACTCATACAGGATGAATAGAATATAGAATATATGTATATAGAATAGAATATAGAGTAACAATCTTATCTGTAATTCAGCTTGTGTCAAAATGTCCTTTTGATTATAATAAACAAAATTATCAACAATTTTTGGTGCGTTTCTCTTTCTGGGAAATCTGGGAAAAAAATCCCTTGATCATGGGTAAGGACTTCATTAAGGATATTTTCAGATCACGAATAGGCCCACAAAAAAACGAGAATCGGTTATATTTATAGCTGGGGAAAATATCCTTGATCCTTGAGAAGGACTCCATCAAATCAAGGATTTTCTTACGGTCACAGGAAGCCATAGCACGCCCAGATCGGGCTATAAATACCCTAGAAAGCTAAATATGTATAGCTGGGGATGTTGTAGTCCTTGTGCAAGGATCAAGCATATTGTTTTCCGATCACAGGAAGCAATGGCATGCCCAGATTGACACTGAAATAACTGAGATAACAAGCTATATAGGAATGGAGGAACTATCCTTGATCCCTGATCCTTGATCCGTGATCCAGGAATCCGTGGCACGCCAGGTTCGGCCCACGAATAACCGAGAAACCGAAATATTTATAGCTGGGGAAATTTTCCTAGATCCTTGATAAGGATAATCAAATCAAGGATATTTTTCGGCCACAGGAAAATGTGGCACGCCAGGATAGGCCCACAAATTGCGGAGTTACGGACTATTATTGTTTAATAAAAAAAAATAGTTGTTGTACAACAACAACCATCAGAATAGCTTCTGCACAAAAAGCAGAAAACGAGAATTTCAGGTCTGGGATACCAGGCGAACAGAAATCAGCAGAAGGTCGCTGGGTTTTTTTAAATTTTTTAAAATTTTCAACCGTTTTTCACACCCCAAAAGTATGCATCAGCTTTCGGATTTCGGATTTAGTTTAATAACGTATGTGTAAAACTTGATGCATACTTTTGGGGCGCAAAAACGGTTGAAAATTTTAAAAAATTTAAAAAAACCCAGCGACCTTCTGCTGATTTCTGTTCGCCTGGTATCCCAGACCTGAAATTCTCGTTTTCTGCTTTTTGTGCAGAAGCTATTCTGAGGGTTGTTGTTGTACAACAACTATTTTTTTTTATTAAACAATAATAGTCCGTAACTCCGCAATTTGTGGGCCTATCCTGGCGTGCCACATTTTCCTGTGGCCGAAAAATATCCTTGATTTGATTATCCTTATCAAGGATCTAGGAAAATTTCCCCAGCTATAAATATTTCGGTTTCTCGGTTATTCGTGGGCCGAACCTGGCGTGCCACGGATTCCTGGATCACGGATCAAGGATCAGGGATCAAGGATAGTTCCTCCATTCCTATATAGCTTGTTATCTCAGTTATTTCAGTGTCAATCTGGGCATGCCATTGCTTCCTGTGATCGGAAAACAATATGCTTGATCCTTGCACAAGGACTACAACATCCCCAGCTATACATATTTAGCTTTCTAGGGTATTTATAGCCCGATCTGGGCGTGCTATGGCTTCCTGTGACCGTAAGAAAATCCTTGATTTGATGGAGTCCTTCTCAAGGATCAAGGATATTTTCCCCAGCTATAAATATAACCGATTCTCGTTTTTTTGTGGGCCTATTCGTGATCTGAAAATATCCTTAATGAAGTCCTTACCCATGATCAAGGGATTTTTTTCCCAGATTTCCCAGAAAGAGAAACGCACCAAAAATTGTTGATAATTTTGTTTATTATAATCAAAAGGACATTTTGACACAAGCTGAATTACAGATAGGATTGTTACTCTATATTCTATTCTATATACATATATTCTATATTCTATTCATCCTGTATGAGTCCTGATTCAGCGGTGGAAAGTACCAACTGCCCGGCGAGCGGCGAACGTACGAGCTTCCTGGATGGCATGGATTCTGGGGGGTTCCTTCACGCTTAAAATGTCCTCTGACCTGCGATTGTATGATCTGGGGGGGGGCTGGGATCTGGGGGCCTGGGAACTGAGAAGTATACAGCGTGTAAGGCAAGGTAAGATAGTACTAGGAAGAGTTTGGATTCACTTACCCTTCTACTTGTAGTCGGTGAAATATTTGAGCTTCAGATTCAAAACTACGACATTTTCATCTCGAGCAGCTGCTTGTCCGTCCGGGCGAGGATAAGCTTGATTTGTCCGTCCACTTGATGCTTAACTGGGAGAGGTCTTTCTCCCATCCGGCCCAGCTTGGCCGAGATACAGCGCCCAAGTCTTTTGGCTGAGCAAATAATTAAAATACTGGTTTTATTCCTTACGCTGCAGATGTAAATCTTAACTTTGATAGGCAGGACCATGTCTCCCAGGATCGCGAGGATCCATACTGTCGAACGGCATCAAAATCTCGACTTCGAAAATGAGGCCGATTTTTTGCAAATTTAATGATGGTTACATCATGATTTTTTGCGAAAATCGTGAAAAAATGGATGTCCTTTTTTCCGATGGCAGTCGACTGGCAGGACTCTCCCGATCACGGACAGACATACCGCGCCCTGATCGGCTGCCGTTTAGCACAGATATAGCCTACCGAAATAACCAGTATTGTAACGATGGGCACATCCGAATCTTCGGAAGGCTATATCTGAGAAAAATAGGGCCAGATCGGTGCAGGACCAAGTCTCCCAGGATCGCGAGGATCCATACTGTCGAACGGCATCAAAATCTCGACTTCGAAAATGAGGCCGTTTTTTTGCAAATTTAATGATGTAACCATCATGATTTTTTGCGAAAATCGTGAAAAAATGGATGTCCTTTTTTCCGATTGCAGTCGACTGGCAGGACTCTCCCGATCACGGACAGACAGGCCACGCCCTGATCGGCTGCCGTTTAGCACAGATATAGCCTACCGAAAT